GCGGCGGCGGGAGGGAGGGGAAGGCGCGGCCGCCATCTTGAGTGTGGGCGGGCGGGAGAAGGCCGGGGGGGAGCGGACCGGCACCACCGCCCTTCTGTCGCGATATCCCCGGCCCTGACAGGCGGCGACAGCGCCCGGAGAGTCGGGAGCTCTGCCCCGGGGGGAACCCCAATGCCGGGGGGGTCCCTGGTGCCAGGAGATCCCGGAGCTGAGGGATCCCAGTAACTGGGAGATCCCAATGCCAGGAGATCCCAGTACGGAGGGATCCCAGTACGGAGGGATCCCAGTACGGAGGGATCCCAGTACCCGTACAGGGAGATCCCAATGCCAGGAGATGCCAGTATGGAGGAATACCAGTAACTGGGAGATCCCAGTGCCAGGAGATCCCAGTATGAAGGGATCCCAGTTACTGGGAGATCCCAGTGCTGGGAGATCCCAGTATGAAGGGATCCCAGTCCCAGAAGATCCTGGACCTGAGGGATTGCAGTGACAGGAGATCCCAGTATGGAGGGATCCCAGTATGGAGAGATCCCAGTGCCAGGAGATGCCAGTATGGAGGGCTCCCAGTAACTGGTAGATCCCTATACCAGGAGATCCCAGTATGGAGGGATCCCAGTACTGGGAGAACCCCGTACAGGGAGATCCCAGGGGTCGGGGTGGGTGGGCATGGAGTTGGGATGGGTGGAAATTGGGTTGGATGGATGGACATGGGGTTGGGATGGGTGGACATGGAGGTGGATGGATGGACATGGGGTTGGGTTGGGTGGAAATTGGGTTGGATGGATGGAAGTTGGGTTGGATGTATGGACACAGGGTTGGGATGGATGGACAGACATGGAGTCAGGATGGATGGACATGGAGGTGGGAAGGATGGATACAGGATCAGCATGGATGGACACGGGATTGGATGGATGGACACGGGGTTGGATGAGTGGACATGGATGGATGGACATGGCGTTGGATGGATGGACATGGAGTTGGATGGACGGACATGGAGGTGGATGGATGGACACAGGTTGGGAAGGATGGACATGGGGTTAGAGGTTGGATGGCTGGACATGGAGTTGGATGGATGGACACGGGGTCAGCATAGATGGACATGTAGGTGGGAAGAATGGACACAGGATCAGCATGGATGGACATGGAGTTGGATGGACGTGGGGTTGGATGAGTGGACATGGATGGATGGACATGAGTTGGGATGGACACGGCGTTGGATGGATGGACATGGGGTTGGGATGGGTGGACACGGAGGTGGATGGATGGACATGGGGTTGGATGGATGGACACGGGGTTGGGATGGGTGGAAGTTGGGTTGGATGGATGGACATGGGGTTGGGATGGGTGGGGATCCCAGTACGGAGGGATCCCAGTACCCGTACAGGGAGATCCCAATGCCAGGAGATGCCAGTATGGAGGAATACCAGTAACTGGGAGATCCCAGTGCCAGGAGATCCCAGTATGAAGGGATCCCAGTTACTGGGAGATCCCAGTGCTGGGAGATCCCAGTATGAAGGGATCCCAGTCCCAGAAGATCCTGGACCTGAGGGATTGCAGTGACAGGAGATCCCAGTATGGAGGGATCCCAGTATGGAGAGATCCCAGTGCCAGGAGATGCCAGTATGGAGGGCTCCCAGTAACTGGTAGATCCCTATACCAGGAGATCCCAGTATGGAGGGATCCCAGTACTGGGAGAACCCCGTACAGGGAGATCCCAGTGCCAGGAGATCCCAGTATGGAGGGATCCCAGTACTGGGAGATCCCAGTATGGAGGGATCCCAGTATGAAGGGATCCCAGTGACAGGACATCCTGGACCTGAGGGATCCCAGTGCCAGCAGATCCCAGTATGGAGGGCTCCCAGTAACTGGTGGATCCCTATACCAGGAGATCCCAGTATGGAGGGATCCCAGTACTGGGAGAACGCAGTGTAAGGGTATCCCAGTGCCAAGAGATCCCGGTGCTGGGATCCCCTCCCCGTAACGCTGCCTCATGCTGGGGCCGGATCCTGCTCCCCCCGGGGTGGGATGGGACCAGCCCAGCCCCGAGCTCCCGGGAGCCTCGCTGGAGGTAGCAAGAATTTAATGAAAAAAACCACGAAAAATGGCAATTTCTGGGGAAAAAGTGTTGTGTGTCCCCACTGGGGGGGG